AAAGTTGAGCAGTTTGAGTTGTTTTGGTGTAATGACCTCATTACGCCAAGATTAAGAATATATTCTTAAAGATGAGCAATTTGAATTGTTTGAGAAACGAAAGAATATAAACAAAAAGTAAGAAATGATATAGATCTCTACTGTTCAGCTTTACTATTGAAAAATATTTCACTGCAAAAAGATTCTTGAAAATGCTTGCCTAAAAACGATATAGTACGTTCTATTCAGCGTTAAATTGCGAGCTTTTTTTTTTATTAAGAAATTCTCAAGTAAAACTCATCGAAACTTATCTATAGGTCAAATGCATCAGTGAGCACCCAATTGATGAATGAAAGCATTATTCATCGATCTGCAGACAGCTTACCAACATATGTATCTATTCATTTATATTATTTTTTTTATTTATATTATTTAGACATTAAATCTAACAAATTGAACATTCTATCTACATATTTATTTATTTTGTTTAGGCTTTTGGAACAATAAATTTAATAAATTCAAATTATGTATGTATCTATCTATTTCTTTTATTTATATCATTTGAACATTAAATGTAACAAATTTATATTTAATACATATATGGTTATTTTATCTTTTTATTTAGGCCATTTATGTAAGAACTATAACAAATGCAAATTTTATAGAGTTTACATTCATATATATTTGTTAATTTTATTTTTTTTTATTTATATCAGCTGAACATTAAATGTAACCAAGTTTCAGCTTTATACGTATATATTTATTGATATTATATTTTTATTTATGGTATTTACACATGGAATTGGACAAGTTGAAACTCTATAGAAAGCTATGGTTATGATTCTTATGATTTATGTCACGTCTGGTAACTATCTATTCTTTTTCTCGCTTCATTCGAACCAGGGCCTGATAGAACATGGGATCAATCCCATCCCGAGAGAAAAAAATAAGTATGGGGGACGGGACGCGGAACAAAAGGTCACGGGATATGGGATGGACGGGAGTTAATGTTTCTCCCACATGCTTGCGTCAATGGAACAGAAAACAACATAACCCTCAATGTGGTGCATTACATTAGTGACCGATTTTATATCGTAAGACTAGAAGAGTGATCGTCATAGCAGCCCACTCTTATGTAAACAGACATTGAATCAGAAAAAGAGCAATGGCAATGGTGGCGGTCAATTTAATTTGACTAAGATGAGCGACGACTGACGAATGTGACAATGACCGTGATATAATCCGTCTGACATGGGAAATGCTATATATATCATTACGTACGTGAATACTTTTTCATCCTATATATTTTATAATTTAGTGCTTATTGATAAAACGCAAAAATTCATCGTAGGAGCAATTTTACTGAGATACTTGCTAGAATATTTTTTGGATCGATTTGATTAAAGTTGTGCATATGTTTCTCATTCAGTTAGTATTTTTCATTTTAGATCATTGAATTCGAAGCATTTTTCTCATGGCAAAAAAAGCCGATTGGTTAAAACAATTAAACGATATTGATACATGCAATGCTGAGTATTGTGAAATGTTAACTTCTTCTCATAAATTGGAAGATTTCTTTACAAATGAATCATATCTCCTATCGATTTTTACAAATTATCGAAGTCGAAGATTAAATGAATTAACATTATTTTGGTGTTTTATGATCACCTTTATGCATTGGTAGGTTTTGACGTTGCTAACGATAACTTTTAATTATGTTTTAATATCATTGAAGGTCTTGTGAAACAAAATTATTTGACAAAGAAAAATCTGATTATATTACCGTTAAACTGTATGGAATTCTTCGAGGTGATTCAGGTAAATCTCTTTATATTTTTGTATTGATATTAAGCTCAACTTTTTCAATTTAGTGTCAAACAAGTCGGGTTATATTAAACCAATAAGAGAAGCATTTGACTTCCTGGAACGTTATTTCAAAGAACAATTTACTGATTCTAACAATAAATTCCACTCAACTTGTATTGAAAGTTTAACTGCAGCTAAACTTCTTGTTGAACTTGAATCATCATCAGTAAAAATTGTTGTGGGTGAAGTATTGAATAGATCTATATTTTGCTTTTTTTTCAGAAATTTCTATCATCGGACGAAGATCGTCCATTAACCGATTTTGCGTTTTTTGATCCAAATTCGCCCAAGGCAAGCGAGGCACATCCGACCTTTATATCAGCCTTCAACGGCATATACATAATGCAAAGATCTACAATGACATACTACAAAGAAATTCGGGATAGAAGCTTGACAACTTTAATTCCAACAACAGGCGACAAATGGCCGTCCTTGCTTGAATACTTTTACGGTTCTTATCAAACTAATGGTAATAAATTTACATTTAATATGTATTTTTTTAACTATGAGACTTTATCTTTAGGCCTCTACGAACGTTTTTTGTACTGGACCATCGGAAAAAAAAATTTCGTTCACGAAATTTCATCATTTAACAATCAACTACCTTCATTGGAATACTTATATATAACAAGAATGCTTATTGGTACTCGTATTTATGAATATAGTGATGAGGCATTAAACTACGTATCTTCGGCCAATTTTATCCAACATGCGATCTAATCGTGCATTAGGTGAAGGTTTCTTTAATATTCCTCCAAATAAACGTGCTGGTAACTACTTGATTTCAAGCTTTTCAATAAATAGACTTTTTGTTGTAGAAGCATGTCAACGACGTGGTGCTGATCTTATTGAACGAATTGCTGTTATTTTTCAAAACATCTTTGATACATTAAAAGTTTTAGAACCGATTAAATCGATTCAATTTAACAAAATTCAAAAAAATACATTAAATGAAATCAAAACCAATATTTCTACTGTTTTTTATTCAAATAACAGCTTTACGTAAGTACAAAATGTAACAAATCATAGAGGATGTTGTTTTTTAAAATAAAAACTTTTAAACCCACGATTGCCATAATCTATAGTATACAATGTTCTACGCTTAAGAGAATTCATAGTGGTCAATCACCAAAATTGTCTTTTAGTTATTCAATACTATGCCATATTATTAGCAAAATTTTCTGTTTTGTTTGCTTGCATAAAATTGAGTACGAAAGTCTTATTAAAACTGTTCCGACTATTTAGCAATACTTTGAATAGAAAGCTATATATTTATCATCTTTTACTGATAGCAGTCGAGTAAAAGATGGAACTTGTTTCGTATAGACAGTTGAACCTTCTGGTTTGAACACAAAAAATAGGGAGAAGATCAGTAGTGCTTACATCGAATAATAAAAGAAGGGACATAAGGAGCTGATTAATGAAAAAAATTAGCTGCATAACTCTCTTAGTTTTTCATACAATGACAAATATACCTGTGTAAACTCATTATAATAATGTTGTTACGTTTATAACAAATCGAAAAATTTAGAGTTCGGTGGAGGTAAAGATCTCGAGTTTATGACAATAAGCAGCATGCAGGGTTTTTTCTAATTCTTCGTATTGTCGAGAAAACATTGAAAATCTTTCTATCAAAAAAAAACATGTACAAAATATTTTTTTCATTGCAGCGAAGTTGATGATGAACCTGCTTATCCTGATGGCATTGATTTGAAGAATTTGGACGAAGTCCAAATAACTAGTGTAAAGAAAGCACCATTACAATCGATGAAAATTGAACTATCGGCAGCAAAAGCTGCAGTTCATTTTTTTCATAAACTTTTACTACCTCAATCAATCCAACTATTTTGTACTGATTCAATTGACAACAAAAAAGCTACAATTAATGAATTAAAAATTATTCAACATCCTATTAACTGCTTTTCAATGAATGATATCACCTATAATGGTATTTTTCATAGTAAGAAGACTATTTAATCATCCAGATTCACTAGTATTATTAACTTCTTTTTTTAGATCATAAACGTGATAATATTGATGTTAAACAAATTCTTTTAAATTTGGAAAAAAAACATTTGCTCAAGCGTGGTAAATTTGTGAAAGTTGGATCTCGATTGATTGAAAGCTGGATCAAGCTCTTACCTGAACCAACAAATGATGAACAAATTCGATATTTTCAAAATGAATTAAATATCAACTATCAACTTGAATTAGAAAAATATATTGATTACTATGAAGATGGCATTGATCAAAAGTCATCATTAACTGAAGAAAGTAAACGTATATTGTTAGCACAAAGATCATGGATTGAACAATTACGACGGAAAATCCATAGTTCTGCTTTTCAACAAAACAGTTCAGGTAAAATATTTTTACCAGTAATTAGTCTCGAAGTTTTCTAGAAAATACAGAAGATATTTTTAAAAGAAGCTTGTTAGTGCAGCCCATTTAGGGCTGAAATGTGGAACTCACGTATGTTCGTCAGTTTCATTATACTAATATGAAATATAGGAAGTATAAAATCAAGAATTTCTAAATTTTTTAATTTTCTGACAGGCGCCCTTATTTTTCGTTTTCGTTGTTGCTATTCGCCCAGTATTTTTCATTTTTCACAATTTTTTTTTGTCTTAATTCTATATTTTTTTTATTATAAGCTTTGAATTAGATGGCAAATGAAACTACTACATATATGTTTATTTATTTATTTATCCATTATTTAATTCTGGTTACTAAGGTCCGTAATGGGAGGTGTCTGTAATGGAGAGGAGGAGCGAGAGCCGTGAAACCTCGAACTTAAAACTTACACTCACTATTTTCTTCGAAAAATACGTGAGTTCCACAAAAGAAATTGCTTTTATACATTTTTTTCAACAAATGGAAAACTCGATTATTTCGACAGTTGAATAGGTTTTACACTTAAATATTATATCTGAAGGTTGGATAAAATACGACTTGTTTTTCGCAAAACGTTTTAACTTTTGATTATTTCTAATAAATATATTTTGAGACAAAGAAAACTAATCAAAATGCATCTCATTTTTCATTATTCCATGAGATAAGAAGTGTTAATACAGAGTTGTTATGCCTTTATAACAAAAAATAAATATAAATGAAACATTAGTGTGTGAAATACAGGGGCCAAATAATCACTTACCTTGCAGAAAAACAAGTAGATTCAGAGAAAAATGAGAATTTTATTCGTATTTATCTTCTATTAACAAGGATATCGTAGCACTAAATGAATACACTTAAAACATAATGTGAAAATTCTAAGAACGAAATAAATTAAATTCGCCTCTGTCTACTTTTCACGGTAGTAATGTATTATGGAATTGCTTTTTTTTTCATATTTTTAGAATCAACAACTCGTTCATCTACAAAAGAAATGCAACAAGTCGAACATATAGTATATTCTGCAAGTAATAACACTTTAAACATGAAGAATTCATCTATCTTTTATTTCCATTCATTAGATGCTTTTCAAGATATTGTTGATTCTTTTACTCATGATACAATTGATTTACAAACAACATGTTTGAACACAAGTGAATCAGCTAATATGTTTCAACACATGAATATTTCATCAGTAATTGAAAGTTGTAATGGTGAGATATTCTACATTTTATTTTTACGATGATTTCAAGTTGTATTTAGAAGTGTTAATGGGAAATAATAAAAGAATATTAGGTGATAATCAACTTCATGAAAATATCATTCATGATTGCCTATCTGATGTAACCGAACGAGTAGCTGATCTCGTCGGTGCAACTCATGTAACAATGATTGATCCAACTACAGATCAAAATAAAACAAGTAAAATATAGGAATATTACATAACACATATTGTCTCTCTGAATTATAGTTTCTTCAACCGAAACTTCAAGAAGATTTACAACGTCGAATGATTATGTAATACCAGAAAATATGAAAATATTATGTAAAAGAATCTTGTTATCAGATTCTATTATTTTGTCTAGTACAAAATTAAATAAAATATGCAAAACAAACATGGTTGATGTACATAAAGCTTGTAATTTATTAATTGAAAATGAGCTATTATCAATTGAAACAAAAATGTTGGCAAACAAATCTTCCTACTATGAATCTTATATGAAAAAAATTCCACAAAACAAATCACAGTTGGTTGATTTTTCTCTCACATTGGCTAAATTTGGAATTTTTGATATTAACGTGTATTATGAAACATTAAAAACCAGTAAGTTTATTGTGTTTAAAATTGATAAATAGTTAGACATAAGGAATGATTCTTTTTATATGTTCAGAAAGAAACTTTCTGTTTCCATTTAAATAAATTAAAACATATTTGTCAAACTTGAACGTCGAATTGAACTACTCAATTATTCAACTATTCGCAATACTTGAGGGGAAGGTAAAATTCCACAGGAAGGGTCCAAAATCCCACAGGGGCAGCTGAGGGTGAGGGCAAAATTTCATAAGGAGAGGAGAGGGTAGAGAATAATTGAAAAATTGAATAGTTGAATTGAATGGTTGCATAGTCGAAAAGTGGAAGCAATAGTTGAATAGTTGAATTCAACTTTCGAGTTTGACACTACTGGATGAGAACGATGTGTCACATTTCTTTTTATTTTTTTTTCGAATCTTTAGTTAAGATACCATTGATAATTGTTCAACTAATTTATATTGAGAGAAGAATTATATTTTTATAACTGGATACTATATGCACAATGTAATTAATGAAAAGCCAGCAGATTTCATAGAAATCTGATCAGAAATTTTAGAAACAGTTGAGATCTATAAAAAGAAACAAAAATAATCGGAAAATATGAAAAGGAAGCGACATATATTTTGAATTATTGATAATGCATACAAATTTTTTAGTTGATACCAAAAACAGCACCTATTTGACACCACATGGAATGTCAATTTTGAAACAAAAACCCTACAATGATCTCAAGATAATGGTGAATGAAGATAATATTGTGCAACCGGCAAAAGAACGTTATCGTCAATTATTCGATTCTCCACATGATAATCATCGTGTTGATAAAGAAAATTGTGAGTGTATACCTTTTCTTATACCTTACACATTATAGTGTTATTATTCATAGTGCCAGTGGTAGAAGCCAACGAACAAACGACTGTTGAAGACGAAGTTGAATATTGTATTTCAAACACAAAAAGACGCCGTGAGTTTACTGGTAAAGGAAGAGAGTATCAAGAACAACGAATGAAATCGAAGAAGAAAAAAAATGACCATTAATCTTGTTTTCTTGTAATAGATGTCAATGGGATAAATCGAACAAACTTTTATTTCTGGATGTTGTAACATAGAACTTGTAAATTAACCAATGTATTATTGGTATTTATTTTCTTAGTCTAATTTTTCTGAACAAAGGTTATGAATTGTAGATAGTAATCACTAGATATAGATGACTAGTTGTCAAGATAATAAGTCATATATTGATTTTTATCGTTCGGTCAATCATAAATTTGTATTTACAGTTGAATTTTAGTTCCATTTGTTGCAGTTTCCAACCTTAAAAAATCAAAATCCAGTGATTTGAAGAAAAGTATTTTCCCAGAAGAGAAAAATAGTTGCATAGATATGTATGACATTTTTAGTATAATTAACGAAGAGTTACGTTTTTAACTTTCATTTTACTACGTAGCATATTTCATATTAAATAAAAAAATAAGTTCCAAATATAAACGACTATTAAGCAAATAATAAGAACAAAAATATGATTTTATTATCGTGAAAGTCATTCATATATATTTCCTGTACTTTATGAACAATAGCCTATTTTTCAACTGAGTTTTGTTTTAGTTGATCGCTCAGTTCTATGTCAAGATATTTCGAAGTTTAGTTTTTCGATTTTATGCCACTGACATCTAATTTGTGTTTGCTTTTTTCATTTGCGCTAACAGTGGAAAGTAATGATTGTTGTATATTTGTAACTATTTATGCGTATTTTTATGTATATGTTGAACTATTTTTAATTATTAAATGCATATTGGTGAACGATAAAAGAATTTGAAATCAATATTTGTTAGTCAACAGATCTTTTTTGAGTAAGGATACAGTCAGTCATATCATTTAATCTAATGGATGAAGAGGTCTTATAAATGTTTTTTTCTCTTTACTTTCAGATGTATTCTACTACTAACATCAATAATATTGATGACAATGAAATATTTCTTATTTCATTGAATCGAAAAATACCAATGAAACATTTAAATTTGATTTATTGTCTTGATAGTAAGCTGGATGAAATTATTTCAACCAAGTATGATGATATATCCAATATGATTCAACTGACGTATAACGTTAAATATGATTCCGTGTTGATACGATCCATTTTAAACTTATTAAAATCAGATCAGATCTCCTCAACTCCATTTTCATTAGAAAACGCCAATCAGATCATAAACAACTATTCCAAGGATCATCATTTTCTTACATTAGCATCTTCGCATACTATAAAGCCATTCACGTTGGTTTGTTTGAATTGTCAACAGCCATTAAAACTGTATTTCAAAGAAAAAGTTCATGTTTTTCTCATGGATCGTGTTGATAATGGAGTCATTTATTCGGCTCGTTGTTGTCTTATCGAATATTATACAAATAGTTATGTCAAAAGTTCAAGACGTTTTGTCATTCGGAAGTCCTTATACAATCAAAAATACATTAATTTCGGCGGTAAATGTGTTCTTAGTATCGATATTTTATTACGCTACGCCTCAGACTTAATCAATATGGTAAGTTGAAAATATTTTATGGGAAATTATAACTCTTTCATGTATCCATCTTACAATTAATTCAATCCATCTTTTACTTTTTAAAAACTATTTTTATCATCAAATTTTATTCTAGTATGCTGGATTTGAAAATTTTTGTGAAGCATATAATGGCACAATTACATCATTATCATTACAGCATTTTGGTAAAAATAATTCGGAAATAAAAAACCAGCCAATGTTGGAACGTCGATTATTTGAAAATATATGGTTGATTTATTCGTCTTCATTATTAAAATTCTTCTTGTCAACAAATGAAGAAATGGAAATTCCATTAAATATTAGTGATCGTGATCAACGAAATTGTTTTTTCACTAGTCAATTGCCTCAATTGGAACGTGATTTTACATTATTCTGGTCGAATCATTTGTTGAAATTTGATTGTGGCAGTCAATGTTGTAAAGCCATTGTTATAGATGGGTTTCAAAAGCCTGATCGATTTGTTTGCCAGTTTGCACGAGAGTTGATTCATTCGGAAGAGCTTGGTAAATTGTTTTAAAATATTTAAGACCTTCATTTTTATGTATGTTTCAGGTGATATTGAATGGGGTTGTGGTGTTCGTCCTGAAATGATTAGAGATAAACAACATCCAGGTTATTGGACAAATACAGAATATTGTCCAAAACATATTCATCTTGAAAATATTCAATCAGTACATGGTTCAACTGACAAAGACGATTATGATGTTGTTGATTGTAATGTTTCAAGGTAAAGATACATGTACAAATATATATAGTATTTTACATTTTAATAGAACTGATCGCTACTCGAATCGTCAAACATCCTATGGAATAATATTAACTATGTACAACTGTGGTATCATTGTAAATTTCGATGAATTGTATAGATGTGAATCACCAATACGAGTGCTCCATCACCTATTTACTACAATTGATCGTCTTTCACCAATAGTGTAAGTGAGAATTATCTATACAGAATTGATATTAAGAACAAATTAATCTTTTCCTATTCCAGATCATTGCCAAAATATTTAATTTATGATAATGCGTGTGGTTTATTACTGACATTTCGGAATCGACTTCAAAACAGTCAAATTCGAAGCACAACCCGAACAGATGCCTTGTAACTATATTGTCATTCTATTCTATATTTAAGAGCTTTTTTTATAGAAACAAAATGACTTTTTTGGTTGATAAGTTTCATATTAGCAATCATCGAAGAAGAATTTGTCAAGCTCAGACCAATCCATACAAATATGATGAAGTACAACAAATAAATACTGTTGTTTGTGAACAGACGAATTCGAAATTGAAAAAGTATCAGAACGCTTTGTCATCGTTTTCTTTACCAAAGAGTAAAATATTTTATTTATTGTTATTTAATTTGATGAATTGTAAGAGAAAAAATATATCTATTTATGAGTGTCAAAAACAATATCTTTGACATATTCTTCTTGTAATTCTATTTTGTTCAATATAATATATAACAATCTACGAACTATCAAATATAATTCTTCCACAAAACGTGCAAGTATACAAATATTGGATAAGGGGTGTGGGTGTGGGTGTGGGTATGGGTGTGGGTGTGGGTATGGGTGTGGGTATGGGTATGGGTGTGGGTGTGGGTGTGGGTATGGGTGTGGGTATGGGTGTGGGTGAGGTGTGGGTGTGGGTGTGGCTGGGGTGTGGGTGT